AAAGAATATTTTTTCAACGATCCAAGAAACGTGGATTTTTTAAAGAATATTTTTTCAACGATCCAAGAAACGTGGATTTTTTAAAGAATATTTTTTCAACGATCCAAGAAACGTGGATTTTTTAAAGAATATTTTTTCAACGATCCAAGAAACGTGGATTTTTTAAAGAATATTTTTTCAACGATCCAAGAAACGTGGATTTTTTAAAGAATATTTTTTCAACGATCCAAGAAACGTGGATTTTTTAAAGAATATTTTTTCAACGATCCAAGAAACGTGGATTTTTTAAAGAATATTTTTTCAACGATCCAAGAAACGTGGATTTTTTAAAGAATATTTTTCAACGATCCAAGAAACGTGGATTTTTTAAAGAATATTTTTTCAACGATCCAAGAAACGTGGATTTTTTAAAGAATATTTTTTCAACGATCCAAGAAACGTGGATTTTTTAAAGAATATTTTTTCAACGATCCAAGAAACGTGGATTTTTTAAGAATATTTTTTCAACGATCCAAGAAACGTGGATTTTTTAAAGAATATTTTTTCAACGATCCAAGAAACGTGGATTTTTTAAAGAATATTTTTTCAACGATCCAAGAAACGTGGATTTTTTAAAGAATATTTTTTCAACGATCCAAGAAACGTGGATTTTTTAAAGAATATTTTTTCAACGATCCAAGAAACGTGGATTTTTTAAAGAATATTTTTTCAACGATCCAAGAAACGTGGATTTTTTAAAGAATATTTTTTCAACGATCCAAGAAACGTGGATTTTTTAAAGAATATTTTTTCAACGATCCAAGAAACGTGGATTTTTTAAAGAATATTTTTTCAACGATCCAAGAAACGTGGATTTTTTAAAGAATATTTTTTCAACGATCCAAGAAACGTGGATTTTTTAAAGAATATTTTTTCAACGATCCAAGAAACGTGGATTTTTTAAAGAATATTTTTTCAACGATCCAAGAAACGTGGATTTTTTAAAGAATATTTTTCAACGATCCAAGAAACGTGGATTTTTTAAAGAATATTTTTTCAACGATCCAAGAAACGTGGATTTTTTAAAGAATATTTTTTCAACGATCCAAGAAACGTGGATTTTTAAAGAATATTTTTTCAACGATCCAAGAAACGTGGATTTTTTAAAGAATATTTTTTCAACGATCCAAGAAACGTGGATTTTTTAAAGAATATTTTTTCAACGATCCAAGAAACGTGGATTTTTTTAAAGAATATTTTTTCAACGATCCAAGAAACGTGGATTTTTTAAAGAATATTTTTTCAACGATCCAAGAAACGTGGATTTTTTAAAGAATATTTTTTCAACGATCCAAGAAACGTGGATTTTTTAAAGAATATTTTTTCAACGATCCAAGAAACGTGGATTTTTTAAAGAATATTTTTTCAACGATCCAAGAAACGTGGATTTTTTAAAGAATATTTTTTCAACGATCCAAGAAACGTGGATTTTTTAAAGAATATTTTTTCAACGACCCAAGAAACGTGGATTTTTTAAAGAATATTTTTTCAACGATCCAAGAAACGTGGATTTTTTAAAGAATATTTTTTCAACGATCCAAGAAACGTGGATTTTTTAAAGAATATTTTTTCAACGATCCAAGAAACGTGGATTTTTTAAAGAATATTTTTTCAACGATCCAAGAAACGTGGATTTTTTAAAGAATATTTTTTTAACGATCCAAGAAACGTGGATTTTTTAAAGAATATTTTTTCAACGATCCAAGAAACGTGGATTTTTTAAAGAATATTTTTTCAACGATCCAAGAAACGTGGATTTTTTAAAGAATATTTTTTCAACGATCAAAGAAACGTGGATTTTTTAAAGAATATTTTTTTAACGATCCAAGAAACGTGGATTTTTAAAGAATATTTTTTCAACGATCCAAGAAACGTGGATTTTTTAAAGAATATTTTTTTAACGATCCAAGAAACGTGGATTTTTTAAAGAATATTTTTTCAACGATCCAAGAAACGTGGATTTTTTAAAGAATATTTTTTTAACGATCCAAGAAACGTGGATTTTTTAAAGAATATTTTTTCAACGATCCAAGAAACGTGGATTTTTTAAAGAATATTTTTGCAACGATCCAAGAAACGTGGATTTTTTAAAGAATATTTTTTCAACGATCCAAGAAACGTGGATTTTTTAAAGAATATTTTTTCAACGATCCAAGAAACGTGGATTTTTTAAAGAATATTTTTTCAACGATCCAAGAAACGTGGATTTTTTAAAGAATATTTTTTCAACGATCCAAGAAACGTGGATTTTTTAAAGAATATTTATTCAACGATCCAAGAAACGTGGATTTTTTAAAGAATATTTTTTCAACTATCCAAGAAACGTGGATTTTTTAAAGAATATTTTTTCAACGATCCAAGAAACGTGGATTTTTTAAAGAATATTTTTCAACGATCCAAGAAACGTGGATTTTTTAAAGAATATTTTTTCAACGATCCAAGAAACGTGGATTTTTTAAAGAATATTTTTTCAACGATCCAAGAAACGTGGATTTTTTAAAGAATATTTTTTCAACGATCCAAGAAACGTGGATTTTTTAAAGAATATTTTTTCAACGATCCAAGAAACGTGGATTTTTTAAAGAATATTTTTCAACGATCCAAGAAACGTGGATTTTTAAAGAATATTTTTTCAACGATCCAAGAAACGTGGATTTTTTAAAGAATATTTTTTCAACGATCCAAGAAACGTGGATTTTTTAAAGAATATTTTTTCAACGATCCAAGAAACGTGGATTTTTTAAAGAATATTTTTTCAACGATCCAAGAAACGTGGATTTTTTAAAGAATATTTTTTCAACGATCCAAGAAACGTGGATTTTTTAAAGAATATTTTTTCAACGATCCAAGAAACGTGGATTTTTTAAAGAATATTTTTTCAACGATCCAAGAAACGTGGATTTTTTAAAGAATATTTTTCAACGATCCAAGAAACGTGGATTTTTTAAAGAATATTTTTTCAACGATCCAAGAAACGTGGATTTTTTAAAGAATATTTTTTCAACGATCCAAGAAACGTGGATTTTTTAAAGAATATTTTTTCAACGATCCAAGAAACGGGGATTTTTTAAAGAATATTTTTTCAACGATCCAAGAAACGTGGATTTTTTAAAGAATATTTTTTCAACGATCCAAGAAACGTGGATTTTTTAAAGAATATTTTTTCAACGATCCAAGAAACGTGGATTTTTTAAAGAATATTTTTTCAACGATCCAAGAAACGTGGATTTTTTAAAGAATATTTTTTCAACGATCCAAGAAACGTGGATTTTTTAAAGAATATTTTTTCAACGATCCAAGAAACGTGGATTTTTTAAAGAATATTTTTTCAACGATCCAAGAAACGTGGATTTTTTAAAGAATATTTTTCAACGATCCAAGAAACGTGGATTTTTTAAAGAATATTTTTTCAACGATCCATTAAACGTGGATTTTTTAAAAAATATTTTTTCAACGATCCATTAAACGTGGATTTTTTAAAAAATATTTTTTCAACGATCCATGAAACGTGGATTTTTTAAAAAATATTTTTTCAACGATCCAAGAAACGTGGATTTTTTAAAGAATATTTTTTCAACGATCCAAGAAACGTGGATTTTTTAAAGAATATTTTTTCAACGATCCAAGAAACGTGGATTTTTTAAAGAATATTTTTTCAACGATCCAAGAAACGTGGATTTTTTAAAGAATATTTTTTCAACAATCCAAGAAACGTGGATTTTTTAAAGAATATTTTTTCAACGATCCAAGAAACGTGGATTTTTTAAAGAATATTTTTTCAACGATCCAAGAAACGTGGATTTTTTAAAGAATATTTTTTCAACGATCCAAGAAACGTGGATTTTTTAAAGAATATTTTTTCAACGATCCAAGAAACGTGGATTTTTTAAAGAATATTTTTTCAACGATCCAAAGAAACGTGAATTTTTTAAAGAATATTTTTTCAACGATCCAAGAAACGTGGATTTTTTAAAGAATATTTTTTCAACGGTTTAACTGCAAGCGCCTGAAACTATGCAACACACATTGCTTGAGACTCTACCACCATTGCCTTGAGTGAACCGTCACAATTTTTGTGTGATGGGAAAATGTTTAAATAAAGCCATAATTATTGTTATTTTTGTTGTCCAGTAGTTTATATATATTTTTCAGTTAAACAATTAAATATTTAACATAAATAGTAACGACTACAAAGTAAGATATGTGTGGATAAAATAGATAAAAAGATAAATGTGAAGCAAAAATAAAATAAAATACAAAAATAAAAGAAAACAAGTAAAATACATAAGAACAAAACACAAATGGAAGAGAAAGAGTGATGGAAAATAAAAAATAGAAAATTAAGCTTTTGTTGTTTTTAACTTATTGCGTTTTCTTTAGTGTCTGTTCTTTTTTTCTTTCTTTTGTTCTGTTTAGCAATTCCGTGCGATTTTGCGTGTTTGGTCTTTAGTTTTAGTTTGTGATTCTGTTTGCTTTTGGGTTGCTTGCTTTTGGGATGTTTGTGTTTGTAGTTGTTGCTGTTTTTTGTTTTTGTTTTTCTCTGTCATTACATCCAACAACCCAGACAATTAAGGCCGCAACATTGTTTGCGTTGCAGATGAATTTTGATTTTATTGCGCAGAACTTCTTCCTCATATTGGCAGGGGCAGATGGATGATTGCAGATGACGAGGCGTTTCGTGTACGCCAGCCTCTTGGACAGTCCAATCGAGACGACGTCTTAAGAAGTCTTTGCCCCAACGTTGCAAATAGCTGAGGTAAAGCTCTTGGGCCACAGCCTAAAGATTTGATAATAATAGTTTGAATACAATAAAGGTGGTAGGTGGTATATATTTTTTTAAATATTAACATAAATGTGGGTTAAAGGCTCTGCATTTTTGGGGTGATAGGTTTTTTGTGTGAAAATATTATTTACAAACTTAATGCAAAAAAAAAAAAAAGTAAAGAAAAACTCCCACATACCTGTTTCCTTGAGACCCTCACGGGTGTATTGCCCTGTATGACAATATCATTCAAATCAATATCCAACTTGGACTCCCATCCCGCCTTAATGGTCTCGCCACCATTTTGCTCAGTATGCTCCAGGAATTCATTGAGGAAACTCACACAGGGTCCCGAATCGAAATACAAGAAACACAAATTCACTTTATGACACGAAATTCGACCACGATCATCCAAAACCAGTAGGATTTTATGTTTAATCAGCTGTTTATTCACCCTGGCCAGACACTTTTCCAGGCCACGAGCCAGACGCAGTTTCACCCACATACACAAAAATATGGCAGCAGCATTTAGGAAAAGCCAACCCACTCCGAGGGAGAATAGGGCCACCCCTTGGAGGCCTGAGAAGAGTAGAGTCAGTAGGACCGTAAATGCAAACAGGATCCAACACACCAGGATACGTTTATAGCAAATGTTGTACATGGTGAAGCGATAATCGTTGACCAGGGTCTCCATGGCATGGACATATTCTTCAACGGTGAGCTAAAGGGAAGGACAAAAGAGGATTAATTTCTATTTCTTTTGGAAGATTTCAAAATTCAAACTCACGGTCAATCCTTGGGCCATAAGCTCCTCAGGTACCAATTCAGGACGGAAAATAGCCGGAGTCACCCAGGGGAATTTTGTGTTAGCCGGTAAAAGGGTGACAATTACATCGCCATTTGCTAAACGAAAAAGAAACAAAAAATAAATTATTTTTTTTTGAAAAAAACATGGATTTTTTGAAAAATATTTTTTTAAGGATCCAAGAAATGTCGTTTTTAAAAAAAAATATTTTTTTTCAAGGATCTCAAAAATGTGGATTAAAAAAATATTTTTTCAAGAAACATGGATCTTTTGAAAGATGTTTTTTCAAGGATCCAAGAAACGTTGGCTTAAAAAAAAAATTTTAAGGATCCCAGAAAGATGGATTAAAAAAAAATATTTTTTCAAGGATTGAAAACAATTTCTAAAAATTCTCCGTTTTTTGGTCTGAAAGTCCTTAAAAAAATATCTAGAAAAAGTACACGTTTCTTGGTCTGAAGGTCCTTGAAAAAATATTATTGAAAATATCCACGTTTCATAGTCTGAAGATCCTTAAAAAAGTTTCATGGTCTGAAGGTCCTTGAAAAAATATTGTATATTTTTCAAGGATCAATAAAACATGAATATTTTAAAAAATATTTCTTCAAAGACCCGTAGGATACAAGAAACGTGGATTTAAATTTTTTGAAAGATCCAAAAAAACGTGGATTTGAGAAAAATATTTTTTCAAGGACCCCTAAAACGTGAATTTTTCATAAAATTTTTTGGAAAAATCCAACAAACGTAGATTTAAAAAAAACATTTTTTTTTCAAGGAACCGTAAAGCGTGGATTTTTTATAAAATATTTTTTCAGGGATTCAAGTAAACTTGAATCTTCAAAAAAAATATTTTTCAATAGAATGTGTGGATTTTTTAAAAAATATTTTTCAATAGATCCAACAAACGTGGATTTTTTAAAAAATATTTTTCAATAGATCCAACAAACGTGGATTTTTTAAAAAATATTTTTCAATAGATCCAACAAATGTGGATTTTTTAAAAAATATTTTTCAATAGATCCAACAAACGTGGACTTTTTAAAAAATATTTTTCAATAGATCCAACAAACATGGATTTTTTAAAAAATATTTTTCAATAGATCCAATAAAACGTGGATTTTTTAAAAAATATTTTTCAATAGATCCAACAAACGTGGATTTTTTAAAAAATATTTTTCAATAGATCCAACAAACGTGGATTTTTTAAAAAATATTTTTCAATAGATCCAACAAACGTGGATTTTTTAAAAAATATTTTTCAATAGATCCAACAAACGTGGATTTTTTAAAAAAATATTTTTCAATAGATCCAACAAACGTGGATTTTTAAAAATATTTTTCAATAGATCCAACAAACGTGGATTTTTTAAAAAATATTTTTCAATAGATCCAACAAACGTGGATTTTTTAAAAAATATTTTCAATAGATCCAACAAACGTGGATTTTTTAAAAAATATTTTTCAATAGATCCAACAAACGTGGATTTTTTAAAAATATTTTTCAATAGATCCAACAAACGTGGATTTTTTAAAAAATATTTTTCAATAGATCCAACAAACGTGGATTTTTTAAAAAATATTTTTCAATAGATCCAACAAACGTGGATTTTTTAAAAAATATTTTTCAATAGATCCAACAAACGTGGATTTTTTAAAAAATATTTTTCAATAGATCCAACAAACGTGGATTTTTTAAAAAATATTTTTCAACAGATCCAACAAACGTGGATTTTTTAAAAAATATTTTTCAATAGATCCAACAAACGTGGATTTTTTAAAAAATATTTTTCAATAGATCCAACAAACGTGGATTTTTTTAAAAAATATTTTTCAATAGATCCAACAAACGTGGATTTTTTTAAAAAATATTTTTCAATAGATCCAACAAACGTGGATTTTTTTAAAAAATATTTTTCAATAGATCCAACAAACGTGGATTTTTTTAAAAAATATTTTTCAATAGATCCAACAAACGTGGATTTTTTAAAAAATATTTTTCAATAGATCCAACAAACGTGGATTTTTTAAAAAATATTTTTCAATAGATCCAACAAACGTGGATTTTTTAAAAAATATTTTTCAATAGATCCAACAAACGTGGATTTTTTAAAAAATATTTTTCAATAGATCCAACAAACGTCGATTTTTTAAAAAATATTTTTCAATAGATCCAACAATCGTGGATTTTTTATAAAATATTTTTCAATAGATCCAACAAACGTGGATTTTTTATAAAATATTTTTCAATAGATCCAACAAACGTGGATTTTTTAAAAAATATTTTTTGAAAGATCCAACAAACGTGGATTTTTAAAAATATATTTTTTGAAAGATCCAATAAACGTGGATTTTTTAAAAAATATTTTTTGTAAGATCCAACGAACGTGGATTTTTTAAAAAATATTTTTTGTAAGATCCAACGAACGTGGATTTTTTAAAAAATATTTTTTGTAAGATCCAACGAACGTGGATTTTTTAAAAAATATTTTTTGGAAGATCCAACAAACGTGAATTTTTTAAAAAATATTTTTTGGAAGATCCAACAAACGTGGATTTTTTAAAAAATATTTTTCCATAGATCCAACAAACGTGTATTTTTTAAAAAATATTTTTCCATACATCCAACAAACGTGGATTTTTTAAAAAATATTTTTCCATAGATCCAACAATCGTGAATTTTTTAAAAAATATTTTTCCATAGATCCAAAAAACGTGGATTTTTTAAAAAATATTTTTCCATACATCCAACAAACGTGGATTTCTTAAAAAATATCTTTCCATAGATCCAACAAACGTGGATTTTTTAAAAAATATTTTTCCATAGATCCAACAAACGTGGATTTTTTAAAAAATATTTTTCCATAGATCCAACAAACGTGGATTTTTTAAAAAATATTTTTCCATAGATCCAACAAACGTGGATTTTTTAAAAAATATTTTTCCATAGGTCCAACAAACGTGGATTTTTTAAAAAATATTTTTCCAAAGATCCAACAAAAGTGGATTTTTTAAAAAATATTTTTCAATAGATCCAACAAACGTGGATTTTTTAAAAAATATTTTTCAATAGATCCAACAAATGTGGATTTTTTAAAAAATATTTTTCAATAGATCCATCAAATGTGGATTTTTTAAAAAATATTTTTCAATAGATCCAACAAACGTGGATTTTTTAAAAAATATTTTTCAATAGATCCAACAAACGTGGATTTTTTAAAAAATATTTTTCAATAGATCCAACAAACGTGGATTTTTTAAAAAATATTTTTCAATAGATCCAACAAACGTGGATTTTTTAAAAAATATTTTTCAATAGATCCAACAAACGTGGATTTTTTAAAAAATATTTTTCAATAGATCCAACAAACGTGGATTTTTTAAAAAATATTTTTCAATAGATCCAACAAACGTGGATTTTTTAAAAAATATTTTTCCATACATCCAACAAACGAGGATTTTTTAAAAAATATTTTTTCAAGGATCCGAGGTATGTGAATTTAAAAAAATATATATTTTTCCAAAGTTACAACAAACGTGGATTTTTTAAAAATAATATTTTTTAAGGATCCAGGAACGTGGATATTTTAAAAGGTTTTTCCAAGGATCCACGAAACATGGATTTTCTAAAAAATATTTTTCCAAGGATCGGAAAGAATTTAAGTTGAATTTCCTTAACTTACCAAATCCTTCTCGTATCCGCCCAGTTGACAACTCAATTGTCCGCATTGGTGGCTGAGATTCTACTGGGATTGTGACATTATTGGCCACCGCAGATGCTGCTGCTGACGAGGATGATGAGGGTGTGGGTGCCCCGGCGCCCAATGGTCCAAGCTTATTACTATAATTTGGTTGTTGATTGTGATGGCTGTTATTGTTGTTGGCAACAACAACATTGTTACTGGAAGACGAAGCTGATGCATTCCCCTGGATATTAGCTGCATTAGGAATTGTGGATTTTTGGTAGTGGTGATGTTGTTGGTTATTATTTTGGTAATGTTGTTGTTGCGGTGATGTTTTGACGGAAGCATTCAAATCAACATGCGTACTTTCCGTAGTCAATACAGCCGGGGCATCAACATCCGGTATGGAATGTGACGACGGAGAGCGTGTGGAGTGCAGCTACACAGGAAATTGAAAAAAAAAAATGGAAAATAAGCGAAAGTTATAAAACGATTCGAATAAATGTGATATGAAACCCAAAATGTTGAGAACAGTTTTGAAAGCCCTTAGTAAAATTGATTGCCACCGGAATCCCCATAAATTCATAAATGCAACCTAAATGCATTGATTTCTACCTTGAACTATGGTAGTCATATTTGGTTGAGTTTTTTTGTTTATTTTCGTTTTTGTCATTTCTTATGGCCCTTTAAAGGGAATGCAACCGATTTCTCTTCGAATCAATATTATTGATTTCCCATTGACTAGACCTTCCTACGAAATGCATGACATACTCGTCAATATTATGAATCACTACAAAAAGCGAAAAAAGTGCATAAAGAACGTGACCATGTATGGCCGGAGGGAAAAAATAAAAAACGACATGATTTCAGTCTACCTTTTACGGTTCAATTTTCATAGAGAATTTTAAGCTTTTTCAACCACACGTCTAGACTCAAATAATGGCTGTTAAAGAAGATTGTGACGAAAAAAATATATGAAACAAGTAAAGCAAGGCCAATAGACGGGCGGGACCAAACATATTGAAGTCTTACACTTATGTGGTGGGAAGGGGAGTTGCTGGAGACCAAAAACTCTTTTGAATGAATCCTTCGAGATAAAATTATTTGTTTTTCGATAATGCCAAGAAATATCCAAAAGATTATTAAAAAAAGAGCTAATAATTGAAGGTACATGTATCGGCTTTGTAAAAGTTTACATAGCAAAGTAATCTAAATAGAGGGAAAAAGTTGACCTCCCTTCTACATTTTTGAAAATTTTTAAAAATGAAGAAATGAAATGAAAGAAATGAAGAATTAAGATTTTTCGGAATCCTTACAGAATGTCTCCAGCAATATTACTGCCAACAATACCAGGATTCTTTTGTCAAGACATTTTAACTCCTCTATCTAGTCACCAAATGGGTCTTTTTTCAAAATATGCTTAAAAACTCCTCTTAAACGGCATCGTAGCAAGTCAAAATATTCTACAAAATTATTTGTCATAAAATTCTACTATGGGTCCCGGAATACATCAAAAGTCTACATCTTACCTAAACGCCAGGAATTCATAAATATTAAAAAATCGCATTTTAGGGTTAAATTCGATCTTAGTGTGAGTTTATGGAAAATTCTCCTATAAAGCCTCATTTTAGAAAGATTACCTCAAAGGAAAAAATAATCTCCATCAAATTCCACTATAAGTCACCAAAGACAAGAAATCTCTATTTCCATAAAATATCATGAAAAGATCTGCACCAATGTTAGCAAAAAAACGCAACAATGCTTCCTTTTTTGATAGAATCTTCTTTGGTTGTTTTTCGAGTTGAGGCATGAAAGTAACATAAAAAGTAGTTTTAGACAGAAAATGTTAAAAGAGAAAATATTATACACCAAATTTCACTATAAATCTCAGAATAAACCATAAATCTAGGCTCAATAGTTTTTAAGAAAATTACATTCGAAATTAAAATACTAAAATTGAAAATTATGTGTTTTTAGGTTTTTACTGTTAATGTAAGACGTTTTCATTCCAAGTCAAAATCTACCTTAAAACTTCACTTATTGGGAAAATTTTCAAAGAAAGAAATATTTTAAATCAAATTTCATTATGAGTCTCTGAACAAAAGTAAGGTGAAAACCTAATATATATCATAAAAAAATATCACTAACTTTTGGTATATACACAAAAAACACATGTTTGTATTACAATCGAAAATCATGTGTATTTATGCAAAATTATCTTACAAAACATCACTTTAAAGGATCACCTCAAAGACAAAAATATTCTTCATCAAATTTCACTATAAGTTTCGAAACAAAAGAAATCTCCATTTCCATTATATGTCAAGAAGATATTTCCATCAATATTGGCAAAAAAAAGTCGAAAATATTACCAAATTCTTTGTTCAATTTTCCGTTGGCCTTTTTCGGATTTAAGGCATAAAATAACATAAAATGTAGTTTTAAACAAAAAGTGTTGAAAAAGAAAATATTCTACACCAAATTTCACTATACATATCAGAATAAACTACAAATCCAGGCCCAATAGTTTTTAAGAAAATTACATTCGAAATTTAAATACTAAAATCGAAAATTATGTGTTTTTAGGTTTTTACTGTTAATGTAAGACGTTTCCATTTTAAGGCAAAATCTTCTTTAAGACTTCAATTTTTTGGAACAATTTCAAAGAAAGAAATATTCTAAATCAAATTTCATTATGAGTCTCTGATCAAAACAAATATGTAAACCTAATATATATCATACAAAAATTTTCATTAACTTTTGGTATAAAAAATATCACATTTGAGGGTTAAAATCAAACGTCAGGTGATTTTTGGCAAAATTCTCCTGCAAAGCATCACATTGATCACCTCAAAGACAAAAATAGTCTTCACCAGGGACATATACAAAGGAGTGCCAAAATTTGAGATATATTTCACATCACTTACCATAAAGTTTGAAAAATTTATATAGAGTTTAGGCTTACTTCAAGAATTATTGGTGTCACTAATGTCGGTTCTCTTTTCAGTAAAGTCCTTTTTTTCAAAATTTCATAAATCGTACTAAATTTTCAGATTTTCAAGATTCCAGTTTGGAATCATGGAAAATGTTCAGCATTTAAATCAAAAAGTCTTCAAAATCTTTCATTTTGAAGTTTTTTTTTTTCAGGAGGAATTTAGCAAAACCACTGCAAAATGGACCCATATCCAATATTTTGTGTCCCAAACTATTTCAACGTCTCCAAATGTAAACCCAACAGAAACCAACAGCGCAATCAATATCTAATTTCCGTATTGCAGCTCTATTCCTTCACCTAATATCAAATTTAGTAACATTTAGTTCGCATATCCGAAGCAATCTACATCTTTCCATCCTTGACACAAACAATGATACAGATTTAGAACTATTTAGTACTTTTCATACAATTATGGTAAGACCACCCCCATATCTTAATTCCAGATACAACAGAGGGCTCAATATAAAATTGGAGGAACCCAGCTTTATCCCTTTACCCAAAACCAATTTTAGTACCATTTATAACTTTTCGTACAATTATAGTACACATTTCCAAAGTCACCTCCATACCTTAATTCCAAATATCAAGAGAGACCTCAATATCAAATTTGAGGATTCCAGCCCTATACCTAATAATACAAAATACCACATGTAGTACTATTTAGTACTTTTCTAATATTACCTCCATATCTCAATCCCAGATACCAACATAGAGCTCAATATCAAATCTGAGGATTTCAGTCCTATCCCTTCAACCGATACCCAATTAACTACCACTTAGTACTTTTCGAACAATTATAGTACACAATTCCGAAACTACCTCCATATGTCGAGGTTACACATGAACAGCGATCCTAATACAAAATTTCAAATTTCAAGCACAATCTGTTCAATTGTACCAAATATTGTACCATTTAGTACTTTTTGAACAATTACAATACACATTTCCAAAACCACCTCATATCTTAACCACAGACACTAACTGTTTCATCTATATCAACTTTCAGGATAACAGCTCTATTCCTTCACCAAATATTAACTTTAGTACATTTCGTAAGATTACAGTACAGGGTTGCCCATATTCGACGGACCCATCTAGCAACGCATCGCTTAATGACATACCGCGTTTGAAGCGTCAGTCCAAGCAGATTTTTACCATGAACCAATACACGCCACGCGAAATAGTTGAAATTTACATTCAACAGAAGAAGTCAATTGTGAAAACTCAACGTGCTTTTAAAACATTAAAAAATGTGAGAAGTGCGCCTTCTAAGAACACCATTAAGCGTTTATACGAAAAATTTTCGACTAGTAAGGCTCTTTCTAATCCGAAGAGGCCATATAAAAGTCGACCAAGGCGATCGGACGAGAATATCGCTGCCGTACGAGCCAGTGTTGAGAGGTCCCCAAGAACATCCCAAAAACGCCGTTCTCAGCAGTTGGGCATGGCTCGGTCCACTTTACAACGGATTATTCGCATTGATTTGCATTTGTTCCCGTACAAAATTCAATTGACGCAAAGAATGTTGCCTGCGGACAAACCTCGTCGATTGGAATGGGCCCAAAGAGTCATCGAAATGGCCGAAGATAACGAGCAATTTTGGAACAAATTATCATGTCCGATGAAGCCTCAGGAGATTCAAGAAGTGCCTCTTCATGACGAAAAAGTCACAGTTTGGTGCGGCGTTAGTGCGAAAACGGTCATTGGGCCGTTTTTCTTCCAAAATGAAAATGGCCATGCTGTTACCATCAATAAGGAGCGTTATTGGTCATCATGTCGCGATCAATTTTGTAATACCAATTATTCGTCGAAATCGTATGAGGCAGTTCTGGTTTCAACAAGACGGCGCTCCACCGCACACAAGTCGCATAACAATCGATTTTCTGAAGAATTTGTTTCCGGGCCGTTTGATGTCGAAAAGTGGTGATTTGGACTGGCCACCGCGTTCGCCCGATTTGACGCCGCCTGACTTCTTCTTGTGGGGATATTGGAAGTCAAAGGTTGGTAATAATTATCGCATATATCACATAAAGTGAAGGAAGTATCGAATATAGTCCAAACCTGGCACGTCGCAATATTTATATCATATTTATTTATGTCCGATACGAAATGGACAATATTGGCCAATTCTTTTGGAACCTACTCCATAGAGGGTCAACAGTTTGAATAATCATCGAACATTGGCTAAGGGCTATACATCTGTCGGCAAAATCGACACAAATTTTTTTCTGATTTTTTATTTAATTTTACTATCCAAAATGAAAATTATTTTTATGACGTCCTACAACATTTTTAATTTTTTAATTAGAAATCTATTCCCAAAAAAGTATTTTCGCAACGAAATTAGTAGCCATTTGGGCTTTCTGTTCATAGGCCATGTTTGGTAGTGTTAAAAAATGTAGCTGAGTTGCCAGCTTCTAATTCGATCTCATATTGATCTTGAG